GATTTGAACGAGGACAGGCGGCGCTTTTTGGAGCCCAGCACCATCCCCGCAAGCACAGCTGACAAGCGCCGCCCCTGACCGCCCGCCTACCCCTCTCCCACCCCTGAACTCGCCCTCGCTGCTCAAACCGCTTGCTCAATCCTTCCCACCCACCCACACACACACACACACACACACACGCACCCCACCCACACAGCATTACGCACTCACTTCAAACACGCGCCACCGCCACCCACCCAGGCCGCCGTGAACGTGGAACGGCGCCCGCCACCAACACACACACATACACCAACACACACACACACAGACACGCACACGACAAACACACAGGCTACAAACACACTCATACAAAAATACACAAGCTTTTCACACCCACCCAGGCCGCCATAGATGTAGAACAGCGCCCGCCACCCGAGCGAGTCCACGATCGCCGGCGCCACCAGCAGCCCCACCACCGTGCCCAGGTGCAGCCCGCCAAACGCGCTGCTGGTCGCGTTGGAGCGCTTCTCCGGGGGCGTGGTGCGGCCGACGATGTCGACGACGGCGCTGGGGCCCGTGCCCTGGCCGGCGCCGATGGTGAACCTACAGGGCCGCGGTTTTGGGGGGTGGGATGAGATTAGTCAAACAAGGGAGACTAATCGATGTGTATTGGTCGCGTCCACAGTGACACTGGCACCTGTGTTTTGAGGCGGTGAGATAGGTAGATCTGGGGACGTCCCCAAAGGCAGGTCGGGGCGCTCTGCGGCGGTCGCCGCGGCGGGGCCCGGCGGGGCGGGTGCGCCAGGGGCGCGCCAGTGGGGCGGAGGGCGGGGCGGGCCCAGATTTTCGCTTCGCGGACGCTCAGCGGACAGGGTCTAGGGTTCAGGGTTTAGGGTTCAGGGGTTTTGACTGCGCGGGGCGCCCACCGAGAGAGGGCCATTGTGGGGACAGTGGCCGCCGCCAGCGGCACCGCCACCGTCGCGGCCGACCACAGGCCAAGAGCCAGCGGCAGCACGGTGCGGCCGCCTGCGGGAAAGCACGCGCGTGGGGGGAGAGAGCGCGGGCACGTGGGCGGGGTCGGCTCGTGTTCTGCGCTCGCGTGAGATGTCATACATAGCCATTGTTATCAACTCAGCTGCTTTGCAGCCCCGCAGCAGACACAGCGGTGCTGCTGCCCGAAACGCCACCGCACGCCTGCCGCCCCTGCCGCGTGTGCCCCTCCGCCACAGCCTCCCCTGCCCGCCCGCGCCGCGCCGCTCTCGCCGTCGGACGCCCTCCTCGCCCCCGGCCGTACCGGCTAACTGCTGTACCGCCAAACCGCCCATGCGCACCCGTGAGAGACGCGAGGTACCCCCCAGGGATGCAGGCCAGGCAGTAGCCCACGTAGAAGATCCCCTGCACCAGCCCCTGCGTCGACGGCCCCCAGCCGGCCTCCTCCGCCAGCGGCACCATGGCCACGCTCATATCCACCTTGCCCTGTTGGGTTTCATGGGTTTTTTTGCCCGGGGGGGGGGGCGGGAGGGGATGGCGGCGGTTGGC